TGCTCTGATCCAGCAAGATCCACGAGATTCAATTTGCCCTAAGAAAAGATTAAACATAATCTCTCTGCCACTTAATGCGCAGGGGGAGGGGGTGGAACAACCAAAAAACATTTCTTAACCACATACCAAATCCCGAAAAAAAAAACTAGAAAATTGAATTTTTATCCTAAAGATGTCGAGCTGCCATTTTCAACTTTTGTTGAGGAGGCTCTATAAAATAATCAGAAAATCTGGAATGTTCATACCTGCTTTACAAGCTCTTCTCCACTCGCGGTGTTTTCTCTGATTACAACGCTGACAGTGAAAATCGAATGAGATCGGCTGTAAAAAATGCAATTTCAACAAACGATGACGTCATTCTATCAGCAGCAAAAAACATTAAGGAAATAAAGACAGTAATATCGGCATCGTCGGCTTACCTAGAATTCATGTTCATGAGCGTAGCTGCAGTAGTGCGCTTTTCTGCTCCTCTCCTCAGTAGACGGTAAACTTCGGCACGATCTCTGACAGGTATCTCTTCAGCGCCAGATATCACAACGACGCCCTCAAAATGACAGCATACTCAAGTGTTGAAAAAAATAATGAGTGCCAAAACGGACCTTTTTGGATGGGTCATCAAAAATCCTCAATCGTTCCCGATCGTCCGAAGTGGGGGCAAGCAGGTCGTACAGCTCTTCGTTATAGAGTTCGAGGTAGCTAATTCGAACACTGTACTCTTCTGTGCTCTAAACAGCTTTACAATCAGCTTCGCTCAAGACCTAGCTTATTATCTATCTATGTTGATCATGTTCATAGATAAATTTTGTAACTAGAAAAGTTTTGTCATATATGGTTATATAGTGTACATAGAGCAGAATCAGAAAACTCACCGATTTTGCTAGCTCCTCAAAAATATGCTCAACTGCACGTGGAATGATACCCGTCGTTGGATCTTCCTGATAAGAATCATACTTCCCCGAACCCCCTTCCATCGTATAAGTTTTACCCGTTCCGGTCTGCCCATATCTGAAGCAACTTTTTTGTGATAAAAAACTGTAAAGTCGAATTGCACCAACTCACGCAAATAGCGTGCAATTGTAGCCTGCTAGAACACGCTCAACTTGAGAGGAAACCATATCAGCGTAGATACGTTCCTGAGTCGTATTGGGGCCGTAAACCTGAACATATAAAAGCTTTTGCAACTTGAAATTTACCGAAAACGATGGATCACACCATAGAGATTTATTTTTGGGTGACTGGAACTGAAGTTGATCAGTAAAATCATTTTGGACCAAGTTCAGCGTTTCAATTTTCTATGACGTAATGATGACTTAGTCTGGTAAAATCCTTTCTTATAAACACAGAAGCTGTCCTGACTACAACTTGGATGGCAGAATTACAAAAGAGTCGCAAATGAAGTCCCTAGGAAAAATCTGTATATTCGGCTTTCTCATGTGGGAAACACCTTGACTGAACCAGTACCCAATTATCAGCTTCTTTAATCCATTTGCAGCCGAAATCAACTCTGAAACCCACTCCCTACCATGTACTTGCTACCGTACTCGATGAAGTAGTTTGACCGCTCTGAAAATTACGGTCCGGGCGAGAGTTTGGAGAATTTCTCAGCCACAGATGGAAAATAAGACTGCCTCTTGGGCACTGGTTTATCTAAGTTTCTCAGTTAGTGTTCTCACGAAAAGCAGTTACGCGGACTAGCCCTGGACACTGCCTGTGCATCGTATTGATGGTACAGACCCTTCACTTAGGTAGGTGCCAGACTTACAAGCCTCATTCGGTTCACACTTTCGTTATTCGTCAAGTCACGAACTGGCCTATAGCGGGCGGAATGAGCCGGATGAACCGGAAGTATGGTACCTGCCTTATAGAAGACTGTTGCAACTTGGCCGATTGAACAGACACAGAGTCCGTACAAAATTCACCAGTTGCCGTAAATTTTCTACCCACCAGTTTACCGAACACATT